CCCCGGGGCCTGTGCCTGCCCCGGACCCGCAGGAAAGCGGTTCCAGCTCTGGCCAAGAGGGTTTCAACCCTTCCCACGCCACCACCTCGCTTCCTTCATGGTCACCCGCTCCCATCTGGGGACATCGGGGCTGGAGGAGATGACAGCACCGATCCCCTACCGTCCCCAGCTCCACCAACCTCCCCCACAGCCCCCAGCACCCTATGCCCACCCTTGTCCCCCCCCAGCGATGAGCCACCCCGTTGGCGTGAGTATAAATACTTTATTGCTGTTGTGCTGGAGTGCGTGGGGCAGCAGGGGGGTGGCACAGACCCCCAGGGCCGGGGGGGTGGGGGGTGCAATGTGCTGGTGACAGGGTGCTGGCCGGAGACGCAAAGGGGCACAGAGGGTGCGATCACAGGCCTGGCCCCCCAGCCATGTCACCAGCCGTGCCACCGACCCCTGTGGCACTGCCGTGCTGGCAGGGGCTCATCTGCCCTGCTCCTGCAGCCGCTGCATCTTCAGGATCTGGCACAGGATTCTCTGCACGTCCTCGTCCATGTGGCCCTGGGGTGGAGGGGACATTGGTGGGGACATCAGAGGGGACATCGGGGAGTCTGTGTGCATGGCCCAATCACCCCTGGGTTGGCATTCCCTGGATGCAGCCCCTTGCTGCCCCCCACCAGCACACAGGCATCGACGCATGGCTGGCTGGTGCCCCGGTCCCCCATACCAGTGTCCCCAGTTCGCCCACAACCACGTCCCCACCTCACCTGCACTGCATAGAGCAGATGGCTCCGGTACAGTGTCACCACCTTGCTGTGCCGCATTTCTGTCTCCTGCAAGACAGTGAGTGGGTTTGAGCATGGGACCGGGGGCTTGTAGAAGCCCAGAACCCCCCAGGTGATGGCCACAAGCCCCAAGGTACCCACCGTCAGCTTCTCCTCCAGCGCACGGATCCTGGCCTGGAGAGCGGCAGTGTCGGGGGGTGACTGCGGTGGCCCCCGGGACTCAGGGAGGGCATTTAGGGCTTCCTTCAGCCTGAAGACCTCCTTAGAGAGCTCAGTGATCTGCACAGCGCACAGAGGTTACAGGAACCCAGGGACCCCTCACCCCCAACTCCTCGGAGGTCCACCCATGGCCGTGCCCGTGTGCGAGCGTGCATGTATGTGCAGGTCTGTGGAAGTGTCTGCAAGCACATGTGCTTGGGTGTGCACGTGCATGTACATGTATGCACGTGTATGTAGGTGGGTAGGGAGGGTGCCAGGGGGATGGGGACAGTCTGTTTCCAGTGGTGCCCAGTGACAGGACAAGAGGGAACGGGCACAAACGTGACCATCAGCAGTTCCATCTCCACCTGAGGAGGGCCTTCTCTGCTGTGAGGGCGGCAGAGCAGTGGCACAGGCTGCCCAGAGAGGTGGGGGAGTCTCCCCCTCTGGAGCCATCCCAAACCCGCCTGGATGCCGTCCTGTGCCACTGCTGGAGGTGCCCCTGCTCTGGTGGGGGGTGGCACTGGGGGAGCTCCAGAGGGCCCTTCCCACCCCCACCAGTCTGGGATTCTGTGATCCTGTGATGTAACGTACATGTGTGCACGCATCTGTGTACACACATGTGCATGTTTGCGATCCCATCTCCCCTGCGACCCGGCCAGCTCAACCCACCCAAGCAGCGCCCAGGCCACCATCTCCCCTCCCAGGAGCCCCTCGCCACCCCCTGACACCTCTTCCCTGTCCCCTCCCTTCCTGTCCCTGTCTCTGACCAGCCGTGCTGAGTCCTC